ACCTCGGGAAGTGGTGAGAGTTCCAATGCTGGAGACATTCAAGAGAAAATTGGACAAATCTCTGTCAAATCTGCTTTGATTTGGGTTCTGCCTTGTGCAGGGGGTTGGATTTGATTATCTTATAGGCTCCTTCTAACTTAGTTATTCTATGATTCTGTGGAAAGGAATGTTGGGTAGGTGTGTATAGAACTACAGTTTAAATGGATTGTAATCACATTCTCCATCCTTCTGCCTAAAGTACCTCCAATATATATATATATACATATACAGTATATATACATATATAATTGAAAAATGAATATGTTTACAAAAGAATAAATTAAAAATCTAGTGGAAGACAAACTATTTGGGTAAATAATAAACCAATATAACTAAATATAAAAGTAAGAACACAGGGAGAATTCTTTCTGAGTTGCATGGATTTGCATTGTTCGGGAATCACAATCCTATGAACACTTTTTCTTGGAGTGAGCCTCACTGAAGATAGAAGGTGATGCATTATGTGGAGGTTTAAATGAATAAGTGCAAAATTGGTAATCTTCATTATTTAATTAGCTCTATGAGAATGGTTTAGGTCTCTGACTGCGGAGCGAGAGGTTGGGAGTTTGATTCCCCACTGTGCCTTGCTGACATGGACTGGACTTGATGATCCATAAGGTCTCTTCCAGCTCTGCAGTTCTAAGATGATGGTGGTGGTGGCGCTGGTGGCGGCGGCAAAGTGATAATAATTATGATGATGATTATAGTGCAGGGTTATAAGGCTGTAAAGCAATGGATAACAGAATTGGCTTGAAAGAAGGAGGGATTCTTTTTGGTGTCAAGATTGTGGTCCTCTAAGTCTAGTGTTCTACTCTGGACATAAGGTACATGCTTCATATTAATTGCAGGAAAGCAAAATTGTTGCCAGGCCCTCTTGGGAATTAATAAGTTAAAAGGGTAAAGGGGGAAGCAGTAACTTGCTGACCTGGTATAGCTCAGTAGTCAGGGCATGGAGCCAGGGGCTGAGAATTTGAATTCCTAATGCGCCTCTCGCAGGACGGTTTAACCAAGATCACTTAGAGAATTTATGGGTGATGAGGTTACATGCTCTGCCACCAAGGTGGCCTTAAGCAAGCTGCATCTTTCCAGAGTGGCATTAGAAGGTAATGGTAAATTACCAACTGGAATATTTTACACCTAAAAATTTAGCATCAACTTAAATATTTGCCCCTCCTCCAAATTAAACCTAATAAGATTTTCGGTTCTACTAGCTGTCTAGCTGCAATATTTTGCACTCACTGCAGCATTCATATTGTCTTCAAGAACAGTTGTACACAGAATTCATTGTAGTACTCTAAACAAGAAGTTACCAGTATGTGACCTACTGTCGCTACATTGTCAATTGTTATGTGCTGTCAAGTCAGAACCAATTATTACAACCCTAATAGGGATTTCAAGTTTAGTGGGATATTTTAGGATTGGTTTTACCAGTTCTGCATCCCCAGTCAGTTTCCATGACTGAGCAAGGATTTGAACCCAGGCTTCCTGAGCCCTAGTTCATCACTCTGTTCACTACACCACACTGGTTAATCACATGCTCCATAACTGCGTTTTAATGGATATGTTTTTATCCTTGTGAGAATTTTGCATTATCTGTATTTTTACTGTCAGTTGCATAAGAACTATTTTTAGTAGACAGGCTGGGTATAAATTAATAAATAAACAGCTCATTTATAACTTGTGAGGTAATTGGGAGAAAGCAGAAAGTGACATGACTGCAATTACTCATTGGTTCAACGACTGCAGTTTTTCTCAGAAAAGCCCATTTACGGTGCAGTCCTACATATATCTGGTGAAAAATAACTCCCATTGATTCTGCATGTCATCACCTTTCACTGACTCCAAGTAAGTGGGATTAATACTAAAGCCTTAAATGCCTTCAGAAAATTCGTAGAAAATTTGATTTGTGACTCTGACTTGCTAATTTGAATAGCATCATTATAGCCTTCCTTCCTTCCCAATAGCTCCTTCTTTTAGTCAGAGTGAGGTAGCTGCTTCAGTTAGCAAATATGAAATGGCACGAAAAGGGCAGCAAATACTGTAGTTCATTAATTGTTACTTAATATAATAATATTGATCTGTATCCTGTTATTTAGCTCTGCCTGTGTAATGGGAGTAGCCAGATTGGTGCTAATTAAAGAAGTCCTTTTTTATATATATCATGATGCATACCTCTTGCACACAATGACACAAAGTTGTACACAATGCCAAATTGAAAATAATAAGAATAATAGTAGTAATTGTGTGCCATCAAGCCAATTCCCTTCTTCTGGAGGGTGCCTTGGGACTGTGCAACTTGCCAAAGCCACACAGGCTGGCTCTTCTGGGATGCACAGTGGAGAATCAAACTCCCAACTTCTGGCTCCACAGCCAGATACCTAACTCACTGAACTATAAAAGCCTTGAGCCCACATTGAAAAAAATAAGTCTTTAATCAGTGGCAATCTCTTGCAGTCAATGACTTCACTCTCATTGTGTAGAGAGAATTATGTATCAGGATACTGTCCTTTTTGTTATTCATGTCAGGAATGGGAAGATATACTAGTGAAATTTTCTGCCACATGTGCCAAAATAGGTGTAGAATACCCTACCCCTTGGCTTGGGTGTGGGGCCAGCACGATTGGTTGAGATGCTTCAAGTAGCAAAGTATCTTGACCTGACTGCATCAATAGGAGCAATATACCTGAGTAGTTAGAGGTTGAAGTTTTAAAATATGCATTGTCTAGTTCTAGAGTGAGGTGGCTCAACTATATTATGACGTTGGAGCCAATCCTTCTTTGCTCCTCATCACCACCAAGGCTGGGTCTGCATGCCGGAAAAATGCCATGTCAACGTGGCTTAAGAGATTTTGGAACTGATACCAAGCAGCACACATCTTTCCTTTTGCTCCTGAGTTACTATACTATATTATAGATGTAGTAACTCACATTGCTGTGGACGTTGTTGTGAGGAAGGACAACACAGTGGCCATTTTAATTCTGAGCAGCAGTTGTGTTGTATGACACAACTGAAGTGACTGAGGAGTGGTTGAGGAAGGATTAAAAGGGTTGTGTAACTCCATCTTGGATTCTAAAAAAGCCTAAGTTATTTTCTACAATGTAAGGTACATAAGCATGTTGGGGCAGTAAAACTCCCTAGGCTAGTTTTGTGCTATAAAAAGACTGCTGACTGATTCCAAGTAGTCATTACTGGCAGAGTTGAAAATGTCAGAAATTTTATTGGTCTGTTCATGAGACAATTTAAACATCACGGGCACCAAGAATTTCTCCCAAAGCCAAAACAGTCCCCTTTAAATGCCTGAACTTTGTAGGCATGCATACAAATACACAAGATGAGGCCAAACACTGGCCTTGAGCCATAAATTAACGAGGAAATATTTTCCTTCTTCACAGAGGCTATACAAAACCAGCTAAAAGTCACTCTCAGCTACAAGTAATGGTGAGGGAAAGTTAATTTAACATTTTAAGAAAGATTTTGTGTACTTTCCCCCTGATGTTCCTCTTACAAATCTGATCTCAGAATACTGCTCTCTTCTTACACATTCTTCTCCATTGACATTTTTTATATCGGTGACTCCTACTCTTACTTACTCTTAAAATGAGCTTCTTGGCTCACATTAGCTTGTTTACCAGATCTATTCTTGTAAAAGTGGGAAGAAAATGTAGCTGTTATTTTAGAAAATAAATATGCTGTCTTTAAACCTCTCAAGATTTTAATTTTGTACTTCTTCTCTTACTGTATTGCAGCTATAAGCTTCCTGGTTATTTTATGCCTGTGGTATGCTTATTGCTCTCGTTTAGATCATATTTCTCTTTCACTTCTTACACATAGCCCACAAATGGAAGATGTGAAATAGATTCTGGACACTTTTTGGGGAAGCAACTTAGGTTTCGCCTCCTATCACTTTGCTGGCTAGGATTGATGGGATTTGTAGTCCAGCATATTTGGCAGATTACTAGTTGAGAAATGCTGCCCGGAAGCAATAAATCTATAGTTCCCCTGTGGTAAATTCTTCCATTCAAACCGAAAGGACTGATCCAGGTAAAGTTAAGCACTTTCAAATCTCATTGATTCCACCAGGGAGGCATTAAAGTACGTACATAATTGTAGAAATAAGTGTGATTTAAAAATACTTAAATTTGATGGACTAATGCCCATTATTGCTGCAATACATGCACATTCATTTCTTCACAATGAAGTAAACTCATTTGGTACCAAATCATATTAAATTAACATCTGCATTGTCAAAGTAGGAAAGATGACCAGAAGCAAAATCATGTTAGTTATAATGTAGTTTAATGCTACCTTCTCTTTTATTTTGCTGAAAAATAGCAAGGGAGTTTACAGCACAAATGATGGCGAGTGGCATAAACATTCACCCTAAATCTTTCTGAATGGCAGATTACCACTTTTTGACAGACCACAGCAAAACCACTTTCATGACTGGTGTTTCACTTCAGAGAATGGGGGAAGGGGAAAAGAGAGAGAGAGACCCTGCAAATCCTTTCTTTTCTAACCTTTAATTATTAGAAACATGTGTTTTCCTGCATATTTCCCTGCATTTTGTAAGGTGCATGTTACTAAAATTACTTTATGTTTTCATTCTATCAGCTGGGTTGCCTGCCCTGTTAATGAAAATGATAATTCTGGTAGAAAAGCATAAACTGTATACTATCTCCCTACAAAATCCATTCCACGAGGGACAGATTTTGAATTTGTGGGCCATTTCGTTGAAGCTACCAGATTTGCATAGAATATACTGGGTATGAGGATGGTTCAATGATTGTCTGAGGATCAATTTTTAAAAAATCACGTAAATTAGTTTGTCTGGTCCAGAGTATTACTCTGTAAAAGTACAATTTTAACGTAGTGCCATAGAATGAGACAGATTTTTATGGAAATACATATAGGAACTTATCAATATTGCTTGACTAAACTGCTCTACATTTCCTTTGTTGTAGCAGGGCATGCCTGTTCTCAGCTTGACGTGCCCTCATCTCGACAATGCACTGTACCTCTTATTAATTCCTTGCCTTGGACAGCAGAAAGTTGGACTGAATATCTGCTGGGTATGTTGAAATGCTACAGAACCTGTTGTGAAACCTGCTCAGATGAGGAAAAGAAAAGAACAACCAAACAGCATTGTTCTAAAACAAGTAATGAATCCAATAGAAAATATTGAATCATTTATTTGTTTGTTTATATACCAACCCAGTAGAACAATGTATTATTCTTGACTGTTAACAAACTAAGAAAGCAAATAATAAATCAAGAAAAACAAAAAAAAAAATAAAGCATATCAAATATGAACCAGAAAGTGCAGTGTTTTGTACTAAAATGACAGGAACAGAAAGAAAAAGCCTTACGAGGCTGCTATCAAATGCATCTTTGAAGAACATCATCTTCAGTAGCTTCTTAAAGGTGGAAAGGGAAGGACCCAGATGTAGCTCGAGCAGGAATCGATTCAAAAGGACAGGTGCCACAGCTAAGAAGGCTCAGCTTCTAGCTGATATTTTCCTGCCTTCCTTTGGCATAGCCACCCAGAAGAGCATTGCCTGGGTGGACCTGGATAACTAATATTTCAATATTTTAAAATATTTTAAAATTCAATGTATTATTCTACATACTGAAACCAATGCATGAAAAAGGAGAATTTTTGAAATAGAGAAGATAATTTTGGAAGAATTTTTACCTAGTGTACAGGCAACAGAGGATAGAGAGACAAATTCCACATCTGAATTCCAGACACCGATTGAACATAATCAGAGAAAAGTAGTGTTAGAGTAAGGTGGGCTGGCCAAGATCTACTTCTAGATCTTTAGGGATACACAGTAGATCAGCAAGGGTTCCTTGCATAACTAATTGCATAACAATATCAACAAATAAAATGTTCTCCTTGACCTTGATTATGGATAAGAACGCAACAACCATGATGTTAGTAGAGTGGCCCACCAGATGACTACTGGAAACTCAGACACAAGACATGAGCGTAATAACAGCCCTGTGTTCATGTTTCCCAGGAATTGTTACCGAGGGCCATACTTCCTGTGATACTGAAAGTGATGGACAACCACAATGATTAACAGCTATTGATCGTCCCATCCTTCAAAAATTTGTCTCAGTCTCCTCTTAAAACCTTTCAGTTTGTTAGCCATAACTGCATCTTCTGGGAGTGAATGCCACAGTTTAACTATGTCCTGCATAAACAAGTATTTCATTCCTCCTGCACTAAATTTTCCATAATTAAGACTCAGTGGCTTCTAATATTGTCAGAGAGAAACCTCTCATTTCGCTTTCTATGTACCGTACATACATTTATACACCTCAATAGGGTGTTGCTTCATTTCTAAGCAAAACTGTTCCAAATACAGTGGTGCCTTGACTTACAGACGTCCCTACTTAAGAAAATTTTGAGTTACGGAAAGCTCCGGCCGCAAAATTTTGGTTCAACTTGTGGATGGAGCTTACACTTACAAAGGAAAAAGGCAGGGGGAAAGGGTGGGAAATTTAAATTTACTAACTGTCGGTGGCGAAGAGGCTGCTTTTTTGTAGCTCTTTCGCCCCAACGGTTGGGGAAAGGGATGCAGTGGGGGGTGGCCCAGAGCCAGGAGGCTTGACCCTCCTGGGTGCTCTGGCGGTGGAGGCAGAGACAGCGGTCGCCCAGCACAGGGAGGCTTGAGTGGGCCGGGTTTCTTTGGCCGCTCGCCTCCCACTCGCTCCTCAGTGTCCTCCGCCATTTGAATTTCCTGCCATGGGCCCACGGAGGGTGGAGTGGAGCACGCGGGAGGCAAGCTGGGAGGCAAGCGGCCGAAGAAACCCGGCAAACTGAAGCCTCCTGGCGCTGGGGGATCGCTGCCTCTGCCGCGATCGGGGGCGAGTGGCTGAAGCACCCCAGCCAGGCTCAAGCCTCCGGGTGGCAGTGGTCGCGGCAACGGTGGAGCCAGGGCTGGGAAGAAGTAGTGGAGGTAAGGTGCTGTTTTTAACTTTTTACTGGTTTGGGTGGCTTTTGCAGGGTGGGATTGGGCTGGTGGGGTTATGTTTACATTTAGTTTTAGATTTGTTTTGTTTTTTTGCAGGCCCAGGGGCTTGCGGTGTTTTATTTTTATTTTGAGGTGTGTGTGTATTTTTTTTCCTTTGGCTGGAACGGATTACAGTGGTGCCTCGCTTAATGAGCGCCTCAGTTACTGACGAATCCGCATAGCGATGAAGATTTTGTGATCGCAAAAGCGATCACATTGCGATGTTTTTAATGGTAAAAAATCGCTTTGTGATAATCGGTAAGCTGTTTCGCTTACTGATTTTCGCATAGCGATGTTTAAAAACAGCTGATCTGTGGTTCCAAAATGGCCGCTGGGGGAAAATGGCCGCCTGTTGTGTTTTTGCGCCAATTCCTCACATACCAGGCAGCGAAAATGGCGGCCGTATGGAGGATTTTCGCTTAAAGGTGAGTTTTAAGCCCATAGGAACGCATTAAACGGGTTTTAATGCATTCCTATGGGCTTTTTCTTTTCGCATAGCGGCGAATCCGGATAGCGATGATTTTTCGGGAACGGATTATCGTCACTATGCAGGGCACCGCTGTACTCTGTTTTCAATGCATTCTTATGGGAAATGGTACTTCGACTTACAGAAATTTCTACCTACAGCCACCGTTCCAATATGAATTAATTACATAAGTGGAAGCACCACTGTATTGTAATCTTTCCTGTAAGGGAATTCAACTCTCAGTTCAGATCCTTGATCTTTCTTGTTGCTCTTTTCTGCATCCTTTCCATTCCACTAAGTGGCAGCTGGTCTGCGAGGCCATGTGTAGCAAAGACCGGACTTAGGCTACTCCTAGCCAGTCTACTTCTGCCTTACTAGAGAGAGAGACTCAGGACCCCACTTCTCACTTCCCAGCCTCATCAAATACGCACTCCCTCTCCCTCTTTCTTTGTCTCTCTTGCTGGGGGTGCTGGAGGGGATGTGGAGGAAGAAAAATGTGGAAGCAACAGTAAACTGGAAATATTCCTGTGTTGTTTGTTTCTTGCATGCATGAACAGTTTAGATTTGGTAATTTCAGAGTGGTGTCCAACAAAAAGAGTATATAATTAGAGATGGGGACGACTCACTATTTTGGCGAGTCATCCTGCTTTGTGAGTTGTCAAAAGTTGACGACTCACAAAGTACGAAGTTGCCCTCACGAAGCGACAAATAACAAAGTTATTCATCTATTTGTGGTGTGTGTGTGTGTGTGTGTGTTATTTTTATAAAAAACACCTTAGGCAGGCTAAGGGAGTCCAGGCTGCCCTTTGTAAAGATAGCAGCTGCAGCTTCCCTACCCTAAACGAAGCCGCAGCCGCCATCTCTTCAAAGGGCAGTCAGTCTCCCTTTTCACACACCATGGCTGTGGAGGCCAGATGGAGACCTTGGCAGTGGCGGTGATGATTACAGTAAGGGGTGTTGGTGGAGGGGGCTAAGGTAGGGAGAGGAAGGGGTGGGGTAAGCTGTGGGGGTGAGGGAACTGCCTATCGGCCGGTAGGCAGAATGGTTTAAAAAAATTATGAAGGATAAATAAAAATGGGAAAATATTTGTCGATCTGTATTCATTGGGACTTAAACTTCGATGAATATGGATTGACAAATATTTAAAGAATCTGCTATATTTGTCAAAAAAACTGATCCATTTTTATATTCGTCCCCATCTCTACATATGATTCCCACAATGCACAATATACAGATTTTACAGTAAAGTATAAATAATGCACAGATAAACAATACACAAATTAGTCATACAACATTCATGTAGAATATGAAATAGATGCAGTCCTGGACTAGACAGAGAAGGCTTGTGTAAAGTAGGTATGATTCAATGTGGACCTAAAATGGGACAGGTAGAATTTCTGAGAGAAAGGCATTCCACATAGAGGGCTCTGAATGACCTACGAATAGGCATGAGAAGCATGTGCTACCATCAGGAGAGCCTCTCCACATAGAGCTATGAGGGAGGAAATGGTCTTTCAGATGATCTGGTCTTAAGGTTTTTAGTAACTTAACCTTAAACCTGGCCTGGTAGGAGATAAGGAACTAGAATAACCACTCCAACTAAGGTGTTATTTGAGTTTAAGGTCTATGTTTCTGCTCCTCAGCTGAGTTATAGAGTGAAGGCAATGTCGTGGGGCACAGTTTGAGGCTGGGTAGTTGTAGATATGTGTTTTCCTTCTATCACCTCTGGCTTCACTCACCACTGCTTATGGAGCATTCCACCTATCAACAACAATGGGCATCAGCCTCCTTAGAGCTCAATAAATTCCTTTGTGGGGTGTGGTGGCCAGAACTGGACACAATATTCCAGATGGGCTTATATCCCAAATTTGTATAAAGCTATTATCATGTTGGCAGTTTTTATTACTGATTCTGTTCCGATAGGTTACTGGCATGTAATCTGCCTTTCTTCTCAACTGCCATGCACTGGGTTAATGTTTTCATCGAACAATACACCATGACTCCATGATTTATTTCCAGACCTCTTATGGCCAGCATGTACACCATCAATCAAAATGTGACACTGGGATATATTTATATACGTATGTTTGGCCACAGTGTTAATCAATGGGAAGAAGAGGATGAGAATCAAGAGTGAGTTGTTGTAGTACGGATCACAAACTCCTTAGCTGAACAAGCGCTCAGAGGTACGCTGTTTCTTAATTCTTAATGTACGGTATTTCTTTCTGCTTCACTTACCATTTTGCACCGAAAGTAGATCCTGCAAGCCTGCTCTTCTGATGCAATCCTGGTTGGTCTTCAGTGGGAGATTAAATGATCTTCAGTGGGAGAGTAAATGAATTCTAACGTTTACTTCAATTAACATTCTAGTTCTACTTTGTCATGGGCCCTAAATGCACAGCACACGCAGGACACTGAGGCAAAGGGTGATATGAGTTGTAAAGACCAAGTTTACTGAGAGCTGCAGTGGATAGCTCAGGAAAGTCTAGGAGCCACTTGTCCATCCCCAAAGTCGAGAGAGAGAGAGAGAGAGAGAGAGAAAGAGAGAGAGAGAGAGATGTAGAGTAGCCATAAGAATAATACAGAGTTTTGAAAAATAGATATATCGAGGTATTAAAATGGTACAGGAAATGTCTGTGACCAACTGAAAGCTGAACTTCTGCTTTTGACTCAGAGCAGTGTTTCCCATACATTTTAAGTGTCACAATCCCCTGTTATAATAGCCAAGTAACCTGTGACACACACCTGCCCCACCATTGAGGGTTTT